GATGACATTTTAAAAGGTTGAGAAAACAACCTTCCACCTCTCAGCCACAGGGGAAAAAGAAGTTACTTGCAAAACCTGCAGTGCTAAGGAGTTGGTAGGATTTGTAAATGATTCGAAGTCGATATATGACAAATCATTACACTTGGAAATCAGCACTCTGCTCAGTGCAAAGAGAATGTTTAGCTTCTCAGCAAACCAATCTTTTTAGCTGTGGATGCTGTTCCACTGCTGGGCTATTTTAATAACAATATATTTTTATATATTTTAGTTAGTTGATGTCACTTTAGAGGTATCCTAATGTGTTATATCCTGGGTTTGCACACCAAAGAGTAGAACTGATACCTTAAAAAATTTCCTTTAAACACAAGGGTACAGCAGACCTTCATGCTGGTCTTGAAGCTGGGCTGCATCTTCCCCAGTTCTGCAGGGGAAGCGCTGGGGTTTGTTTTTCAGAGGTGCTGAATTTGCAGCAAGCTCAGAAACCAGCTCACCAGAATCCAACAATGCTGCAGAAAATCGACCACAAACAGGTTTACAATGATAGCACACAGAGTGAAAATTAATATGTGTCCCGTAAATAATTGCCTTCATGCCTCATTGCAAATGCAGTAGTTAAACATTTCTGTCTTGTGAGTAATTTGCTATTCACAGTTTGTAGGAAGGCATAAATGTAAAGAAAACAGGTTTGGTGTCCTTTTGTCTTTTTTTGTTTTGTTTTGTTTTTCAATCTGCTAATTTCAATTCACAAACACCATGGGAACCTGCAATTCCAATTTTCTTTTTGCAGTTTTAATGAAAACTGGGCACTGAAAATAGTTAGATTTCTTTCCCTCTAAATCTTAAACCACTTAGAAATACAGTCAAGAATAATAACTTTCTAATCCATTATTACACAATGTAAAACTGCTCAATTGCTATTATTTCATGCAAAGATTATCATAAGTGGTAGGAGAGGCTTTTAGAACTCAGTTTCTTCTGAGCTGGTCTTTGAGGCAGTACAAAACCACTGGTTGTGTGCTGTTGAGGGGAAGGGTCTGTGCATCAGAGAAGTTGTTTTAAGAAGGAATTCTTGCACCACAAGATGACAATCATTTCCTCTCACTGTCATGGCAAGGTTTGAGCATATTTACTGCCTTTATGATTTTGTCTTGTTCCTAATCAAACCAACCTCAATTTATTGTTTTAATAAATAGTAATAAATAGATAGTTTCAGGGTTTGGATTTTGGGTATATTTTTGAGACAACTGTTTAGTCTTAAAATCAGAGTAATATTTTATGTCATTTAATCTTAACATACTCCAATAAGGTATTTCAGTTCTCATTTACAGTAAGATGTCTAGGATGAAGGTAATATCTTTTTCATGCTGCAGACACTATGAGTGACTGCAGCTGAGTAGCAGACAAGGTTACCTGCAGGAACACCTCTGCTGCTGTGCCAGGAGCCAATGGCTCTGCCTGGTCCAGCTACCAAGATGCTGGGAAGAAAACTGCATCCAGTGCTTCCCAAAGAGCAAAGAAGCAAAGAGCACGATTTCTGTAAATTTAAAGTCTTCATTTGCTTTCCACTGGCATCATCTGCCATCCCTTGCAATCGTTCCGGTCTTGCAGTGGAAAAAAATATAGGTAAATTCCCCTTGGAATTGAGTCCAGTCTTAGTCAAACAAAGGTATTGCTTAAATAGAAGACAGCTGTTTCAGCAATGTTAGGGATGTGGAATTATTTATTTATATAGATTTCAGAAGAAATTAAGGCTGGTTTTTTTTCCAGTGGCCCTTTCCTCCCTGTCTCAGAATAGGACTCTTGCTTTGATGTGTACTCCATTAGCTGTTCCTATCTAACATGCTCACAGAGAAACCTATGCACTTTGTAAAACTTTTCTATTTCCTCCTCCTTCATTTGTCTGGAGAGGCTCTAATAGGTTAAAAGCATATTTTAATGTAAATGGAACAAAAATAGCAAGTCCTTTTCCTTGCTGAATTGCTCCTTTTCCAGAAGTCCAAACAAATGCAACAACAGATGCTTTGAAATGTTGTAAGTTTAAATAACATCAGTGTAGTTGGTTGAATATTTCTCAGGCAGATGGATTAAATGAGACAACTGTGAAAACATTCTTAAAATAAAAGGAAGCCATCAGGTGAGAGGCAGGAATTTAGGTAACATTGAAAAATATCCCTTAGATGTTTCTTTTAGGTTGCAATATTAGAATGTTTTCCTCTGAGCAAGCTGTTAACTGTCATTTAGTAGACGTTAATTGTAAAGTTAGTTGACAGTGTTTGGCCCAAATGTATGTCTCTTAAAGAGAAAGAGCAGCTGTTAATCCATCAGGTATTGACAGTGTATTCAGGGACTTCTATTATTTCTCAGACAGAAATTAATTTCCTGAAATCACATACAGCAAGATAAGACTCTGTCTCATTTTCACTCACTATGGAAATACTCAGTCTTTGTTCTGCACACAATGCATTGTCTCTTGTAAAACAGTAAATGACACCCTAGGTGTAAAAGAATTTCCATTTTCTACAAGAGCTACAATGAACAAACAGGATCTAAACCAGTCACTGACTACTTTGGAGCACGGCACCTTTGTTAGTAGGGTGGCATCTGCCCTGAAATGACAAAAACATCTTAAAAACTTCAATATCTCTTGTGTTGCCATAGAAAGTACCAACTGCACCAACTCATAACAAGTAAGAACTTTCAGAAGGATACAAAAATTTAAAATACTATTTGATAAGTTTTTTTTAATTTTACAGTTTTGTCTCTGTTCTTTCAGCTGAACAAAATGTCAGCTTCTTTAAACCTGTTTGAAATAACTGCCAGAGGAAGTGTTTCAGCAGTAAGAACACAGATCACCAATAAGTAAATTATTAGTAATACCAGAGTGGAGAAGGAACTTATTCTTTTGGGGAATTGTAGCTTTTTTGCTATGTTTTATTATTCATAGGCCAATTATAGATGTCTGCAGCTGGTGGCTGCTTTCAATTCTGCTAGTCCAAACTTGTTGCAATTTTTTGACCAGTATTGATATTTTGACTGGCATTACCTTTAATGTAGCATCCTTAAAATCATCATCTTCCTCTTATGCCTTTACAGTGCTTAAAAAAGTGACTGTGGAGCATAGTGTGCTTTTGTGGACTTTGAGCAAGACACTTTTCTAACACACCTCAGTACAATGCTAGCTGTAGGCACACCCTGATAAAGTTAACATGATGATTCTATTGTAAAGCTAGCATTTAGTACTTTAGTTCGCGTCTATATTTTACTGATTGAATTTTTAGCCATGCATAATGATGCATAAATGCAGTTTCTCCAAGCCAGCCTGGCTCTCCTGAGCTCAGCCAAGGCTGGCAATGCTGAGGATACACAGCCTCCCAGAAGTTTGAAAATGCTGGTATAAGCAGAGGAATACTGCAGAAACCCAGATAACTTCATTTCTGTCCATGGCACTTGTTAGGTTAGAGAGGATCCATCTCAGCTATCACCACTTTAAGTGATTCTATCCAAAGGTCTGCCTCCCCTCCTGCTGCAAAATTCAACAAAGAAAGGAGATCACGGAAAACACAAAAGTACTGTGTGTGCTGAGAGCATTTAAACTAAAAATTCCTCCTGGAATTAGGGTTTCATTCCTCATGTCTGTGCAAGGGGACAAAATATGCCAGAGTACACAATAGTTCCTATCAAGAAGATTTTCCAGTGTGAAGACATAGGTCAGCTCTATTCATATCACAGTTGAAAAGACCAGAGTCTAACCTTAGAGGTGGGTTCTTAGGAGGCTGAGTCCTTGCAATTTGGGAGGTTTTTTTGGGGCATAAAGCAATCCTTAAAGGAACATCTGACAATGGCATCAATGATGAAAAGAGGGGATGGGAGAAGTGAGTGAAAAAGTGCTCTGAAGTGTAGCCATATCCAAGGAGGATTCTGAAGTAGAAAATAGCAGATAGGGCTGGATAGCTCTCTAAAAGCAGTAAGAATAAATATAATTAATTAAAAAAAAAAAAAAGAAAATATTATAAGGAAAGGAGAAACTGCGAAGCTTGGTGAGGGAAGTGTACAGGAGAGCTGAGGATACCTTATTTGTAGTGAATTTATTGGCTGCTATCAGCCATTTTCTTTTTTTTTTACCCTCCATTCTGTCTTATCGTCACTGCCTTCTCAATAAATAGTATGGTGTCACTTTTTGTTCCTGACAGAAAGAGAGGGAGAGAGAAAGGGAGAGGGAAATCCTTTCCTCTCCATCTTCATGCTCTTGCATTTAAATTGTCGCACATCTGTTATTTCAGATTATTTAAGCATTATTTGCTTAACAACACACTAGGAAAAATTATACCTTTGAAGGCTAGAAAGAGATATTCTTTGCTGTTCTTTTCCTTGTTTAAAAGCCTGAAAAAGGGATGGGCTGCAACCCTAACTGGTTTTGGACTAGTAGAGGGGGGTATTGATGCCTTGTGAAGGCTGACCTAGAACAGAGACTAGATGGAGCTAGAGTAGGGATTTATTAGGAGGCCTCAATAGATACACCTTGGGCAGCACAACCCAAAATGGCCAAAAAAAAAATAAACCAGCAGTCACGGTGTCTCACACTTTTATGAGTTTTGGTCCATTAGCATATTGGAGTTAATTGTCTGATTACAGCTTTAGCCCATGCAGTTCCATCCTTGTTTTTCTCTCCTCATTCCACCATTGTTTATGCTCTTGGGCCTGAGGTCTGGATCTGTTGTCCTTGGATTCCCAGCTAGAGAAGGAATGGTTTTGTCTCCCTGCTCTGTGAAGAGAGCTCACCATCCCCTAATATGAACCCTAGACTTACAGACTAGCAGAAATAAAGCAGAACAGAATCTGAAAAATACAAAAGCTAAAACCTGAAGCATCAGCGCATCTGTAGGCCGTGCTGGCCCATGGGCGCCGCCAGAAGGACACGTGGCCGTAGCAGCAGGCATGACTGACTCCTCCATGCCCAAACTCAAGGATAACCTCTCCTTTCTTTCCCTGTCTCCCCACAGCAAACCCCACCCGGGCGGGAGGAGGACGGGAGTACCCCGGCTCGTCCGAGGTGATCCGCGAATCCAGCAGCACGACGGGCATGGTGGTCGGGATCGTGGCGGCGGCGGCGCTGTGCATCCTCATCCTCCTGTATGCCATGTACAAGTACAGGAATCGAGACGAGGGCTCCTACCACGTGGATGAGAGTCGAAACTACATCAGTAACTCAGCACAATCCAACGGGGCTGTGATCAAGGAGAAGCAGCCCAACAGCGCTAAAAGTTCCAACAAAAACAAGAAAAATAAGGATAAGGAGTACTATGTCTGATCTCAACATCTAAAAGAACGCTTGTATAGAAATAGTCTTCATTTTATCTGAGACATAATACAAACTTATTTACTTTACTTTTTATGAAGCACATTCAAAAACAAACAAACAGAAAAGACAGGGAATGCAATCAGAAAGGAAAGACTGTTTTTAAAAACAAGCATTTCATGCTCTTGTTTTTCAGAAACAGGAGCTGATAAATTCCCTAACATCCACAGTGTTTTCATTTACTCTGCCTGTCTTTATGTTGCTGGAACGTTTCTGAAAGACAATGATGACACCACGCACTCATAAAGCAAGGAGTATTACTACAACATCGAGGCACAATATGAAAAAAAAAAATCAAATTTAAAAAAAAAACAAAACAGGAAAAAAAAAAAGAAAAAAGAAGCTACCTATGATTCTGGATTTAGCCAAAGTGCTAGCGCTTTCTTGAGAAGTAAGTTAGTCTTATTGTCAGAGAAGACTGTCATTATATATGGTGACTCAACAAGCAAACATAAAGAGTTTGCCGTCTGGTGCAGTGAAGCAGTGATTGGAAACTTGCATTTTGAAACAAAGTGCTGGCTTTTCTGAAGACTTATGTAGAAATACTTTCAAAAAGCCCCTTTCTGGTTGTGAGGAAAATAGTATGGAGGCCTTATTTTCAAAAACAAAAACAAAAAATCTGGAATATAAGGCACATTTCCACAAAAATATTAAAAAAAAAAAAAGAAAAAAAAAAGAAAAACAAGAGGGCATAGATGCAATCATTGGGAAATTTTCATGCACGCTTAATATGTTATTACATATGTTTATATAAAAACACATCTATATGTGCTTTCTGGACTGTGATAAGTGATGTTTTATAGCCTGTTGTATAGAAAATGCAAACTATATCTGCTCTTCAGCCATTTTTGGTAAACTCAATGTTATAAGTGTTGCTAGGTATAGAGAGTTTTATGACATCTGGAGCAACAGACATTCTTCAGTTTTTTTGCAGCCATTATAAATTGTCCCAGACTTTTTCCCCTTTTTTTTTTTGATTTTTAATTTACAGTGTAGTGGTTATACAAAGGGGGATGTGTATGAATGTATATAAGAGTCAGCTAATTTTTTTCTTACCTGTACAGCTCTATTATGTTGCAATTAAGTTTCAGTAGTTTGTATGAAAGAAGTGGACTAGAAAGCAAAAATATATCTCTACTGTAATTTGTCTTCTCCCTCCTATCCCCATCTCTTGCTCCTGATATGCATCAATGAAGTTGATCAGAATGGCCAATTTTCCTAGAAATATACATTCATTAATTAGCTAAATATTTAGTGACTTAAACTGGCCTTTGGCTTCCAGTCAAAGCTTCACTATTGGAGAGCATGGTTTGCCTTACAGAAACCTTGTTCTTAGAAATTACGAGAATGATGAGTTTCTTGAGAATCTTAGGAAGTATCATATAGTGTTTATCTGGCATTCGTATGAAGAACAGCTACTACAGCACTGGGTGGTAAAAGATCTAAAAATACCCATTGTAATTATCCAGGCTGATTCTATTGCAGAATTTATCCCTTTCTCCAAAAAGGAAATACTCTTGAGGTGCACGATAGTATTTTTCAATGGTGGGCATTTTGACATATGAAAAAGTATTTTTAGCTAAGTTTATTGTGTAGTATTGCAAGACATCATAACCAGACAGATCTAAGTTCATTATGTTTTAAAGTGACACAGCTTATCTTGCATATATAAAACATTAATGCATTTTAGTTAAACACATGAAATGTAATGCTGTTATTTACACGTTAAGTTTGGAATTTTTTTCTAGTAATATTTCATTAGTTTCACAGCAATAAATCATAGCATAACATTTTATTTACACAGAAGTTCAAAGGGAATGCATTAGACAGAAAGAGGGTAGTTCAATAGAAATCAACCAAATCATCAGAAGGCCTCCTGGGAGGGATATAGATATTCACACTTTACAGAAAGGAAGGAGAAATTTAAAATTAGCTTTAAACAGCAGACACAAAACATTTTGTTGGGTGTTACTCACTGTAGCTGATGAAACAAAGTTGGGAACTGGTACAGCTATCTATCTGGGAGTCAGAGCACTTTAAAAATACATGTTGCTGACATGGAAACACCTCTCTTGAAGCTTGCCAACCACATCAAGGTGTGACATGTTGCATTTGTGAAACGACTTTTTATTTTCATTAGCATTTACACAAAAAACGAAGGGAAAATAAAACCCACTCGCGAAAACCACGAAATCCATCTGATGTTCATCTCTTAGATTGTTGTTCACCTGTGGCACTCATCATTTCTCCCACCTTTACAAGACAGCTGTACTCAGGGAATGGCAGGGGCAAGGGTGGCTGGAGGTCATTGCTGGAAGCAAGAGGCTTCAGCTGGAGGGGGGAAAGAAGCTGAAAGCCAGGTGGGGTTCAGATTTCAGTGCTTGAAGGTACCTGGAAGAACAAGAATAATCTGTTGGCAGGAGACTGGGCATGACAGAATGTGATTTGGGTGAGATGAAATGGTCTTTTCTGCTTGGTATTGATTGCATTAATGAAATAGCGTTGTCAGGCCAATTTCCAGGCAGTTTGGTAGGTCAATCTTTAACTAAATCCATACATCAAGGACAAAAAAAAAAAAAAAAACTCCTACTATTAAAATAAGAAAACACAATTTTAACACTGTTTCTGAAGGTTCTCCTTTTTCCTCTTTAATTTCATAATTTAACAAAAAAAAAAAAATTATGGATGTATCAGAAATGCCAGCAAGTGGATTTAAAATTCTTTTTTGTTTAAAAGCAGCAGCAACAACAAACAGACATAAACCAACTACCTAACATAAAATTGGATTCCTTTCTCTATAATAACCTAATTTGTTTGACTGAGATGGCTTCATTTCTATGACTGTATTGTGTTGCCTTTTTTAACAAAACACTAAATAACGTGTGAAACTTTCAACCCTAAGACATCAAAGAGAGGCCCAATGCCCCTAACCTTATAGTGCTTTCTGTGATAGATATTTACAATTTTTTTATTTGTTGCAAGGCCAATTTATTCATTATTGGAAATGCTAAGCAAGTGGAATTTACTGTTTTGTTAATAAAAATGTTTCTTAATACAAATGCTGCCTTGTTTCTTGTCTTGCTCTTAGATTGTGAGTACCTGTTCATCCTGAGGCTGTGAAAAAAATTGGTAAATTGGTGGCAAGTTACAGACATTTATGTCAGGAAAAAGTAACCTCAGAGCTCTTTATACACTTCAATGAAAAACTTCAAGTCTTGTGTTCAACTGGCCCAGTTAGAAAAGTATTAATAACATCAATGAATTAGTTTTTGCACAGACTTGCTTAATTTGAAATTTTCTAGTTTTTTTAAATCAAAAAATTAAAAGTTGAGGTTCTCTTTCCCATCTCTATGAAAAAAGAACTCTCCTTTTTGCCACTTTTTGATTTCTGTAGTGGAAATAAGGTGGAGGAGGGTAAGGTAATGGGATGAAAAGTTAAACCATTTCTTAAAAGTGAAAACATTTTCTCTTGTCTAGAAGATGACTTAAAAATAAGTGGGAAAATTAATGTATTTCAGGTCCTTAAAAACATTTCTAGATAATAATTATAAAATTTCAACCGGAGCAAATCCATTACATAAATGCTTTCCTACTTAGCGTGGCATTTAAATTCATTGGCAACTTCAAGAAAACATCTAATCCTATTGATTTAAGCAAGTGTCTAAACTTGCCTAAATGTACTGCTGAATGGGGATGGAGTTAAGCTTTTGGATCTAAGCTCCAAATAGAATTTAATTTTGTATCATCTTAAATCACACCAGCAGCTTTTAGACTTCAGTGAGATTTATTCATCTGCTTAATTACGTATAGACTGAAGTATTTTAGATAATTTAAGCTCAGGAATATCTGGAGAAAAACAGTCCCTATCTTCCATTGGTATAAAACACTTTGAAAGTTCTGAACTGCTTTATACTGAGATTAGGTCTTGTGAGTGTACTTAAATAAACACTGAATATTCCATTTAGGAAAATCCTTTATACACATTTAAAGGAGTTATAACAATAGTGATTTTCATCTTACTACTACAAAGAAAACCTCCAACCAAAAACAACTCATACTTAATTATTTAAATTCTAAAATGTAGCTGTTGCTTTTTTTTTTTTTTTTTTTTTTTTTTTTAACATCTATACTGTGTATACTGTTTCCTTTTACCAAAATCCTAATGGCCTCTGACTGCCTGCATCATTCATCATTATATGGCCACGATAAGTGGTGTAAGTGGTGGCCTCCATCATCAATTATCACTGTGGTCAAGCAGCTAAAAAGCCTTTACAAGGTGATGAAAAAAAGAGAAAAAACTAAACAACACCCCCAAATGGGACTTAGAATAAGGGAAATAAAACTCACACAGGCTGTAAATGGCAACTGTGTTTGTTAATTCCTCCTATGTGACTTCTTTATAGTTCAATGAAACAGTTTTAAATTGGGTTCTGGATCTGATTTTGATTTTGATTATAGAAATTTGCTTTTAAGTTCAGTATAGGCCTGCTTGGAGGTGCTTAGAACTATTTTGCTGGGTCAGGCACCCTTGTCAATATAATTTTATTTGAAATGCAGGCTATTAGGTTTATTTTAAAGCCCCCACTTTTTTAAAGTCTGTAAGTATTTCGATGTTAAAATGTCTCTGGCTCTCATGGGAGTGGAGAGAAAGACAAGTCCACACTACATTTAATTCAATTTATAAATTGATAAATGCTTGGGAATGATAAAACTGCTTGCCTGCCAGCCTCCGATTCATCTGGATGGACTACAACTGATTTGGTTGGTCGTTACTCTTCATGAAACCAGAAGCATCCCCCACAGGTTGAGCTTTGAAGCAGAAATTCCAGAAAAGATACAGATGAGCTCAGTTTTGTCAGACACAGGGCCAGAACTCAACCAGTCCTTTACCCCCTTACTTTGGAGTTTCCTTCCTACTGGCGGTCTTTGACAGACTTGAGCCACCAACTCTAACTTCTGTCAGAGAAAGTCTGGCCCCTTGCTTTTTCTTTCTCCGTCACTCACTGCTACACCAATATCTTAATTTCACAGAATCACAGAATCAGCTGAGTTGGATGGGTCCCATCAGGACCATCCAGTCCAGCTCCTGGCCTTGCATAGAACAAGCCAAGAGTCACAACAAGTGCCTGAGAGCTTTGTCCAAATGCTTCTTCAACTGTGTCAGGCTTGGTGCTGTGAGCACTGCCCTGGGGAGCCTGTTGCAGGGCCCAAGCACCCTCTGAGTGAAAAACTTTTTCCTGATATCCAAACTAAACCTTCCCTGGCACAGCTTCAGGCCATTCCCTTGGATCCCTTTTCTGGTCAGCAGAGAGAAGAGATCAGATTCCACCCCTCTGCTTCCCCTCCTTACCACTGTGTTCAGAACAAACAGATTTCCATATGACATTGCTCCTCCAGTTGGACTTGACTGTAGTGGACAATCTTTAAAAAAACTGAGGGATTTTTAAAGAAAAAAGGTGACATGAGGGGTAGAGTTATTTCAAAGGATGTGGGATTTTCAGTGAGTAAATTGCCTTTAAGAACAGTAATTTCATGCTGGCATACACTTGAGAGATTTAGAAATCCAGGTCAGTAATCCTGAAAAACATCCTTTTGGTAAACAATAAAGGCATGAGCTCGTTTGTCAGCAATCACAGGGACCAACAGCAAGGCTATCAAAATGGGAATGTGTCAGTCTGGTTGCAGCAAATAACACAGGGAAATGGAATTTGGGCAGCTAAAAATAACTGCTGGCACGCTGGCTGGACTCTTATGAGTGAGCCCAACTACAAGCCAGTGAGCATTTATTGGATGATAAAGAGCAAAATACTTCAACTATAGTCCCAGTTTGGGATGCAGCTGACAGAACAGAGGCACAGGCTGTGGGGCTGCAGTGGCTTTCCCAGGACCAGCAGCCAGATTGCTGTTCAGGTGTCCTCCAAGCTGGGCAGCTGGGCAGGCTCCACACAACCACCTGCTGCACGACAGCTGATCAGCTGTTTCCAGAAAAAAACTCCCTTTTCCCTTTGAAATTGAGATTAATTTTCTAGGAATAGTACAGCAGCTTGCTCTGTGGAGTGGCTCCCAAAACATGTCGCACCACAGCCAGCATCATCTGAAAGGGAAACTGTGGCGGAGAAACCTTCACTCTGTTCAGGATGGCCTCAGGACCCCCTCAGGATGAGCAGATGTGAGAGTGCAGGCACTGGGCTGGTGTGGCTACAGAAAAGGGGGGAAATTCAGCCCCATGAGGGTCTCACAACCAGGACTGCTTGTGGAACTTGCCCCAGGGCTCGTAGCTTGGCAAAGCTGGAGCAGGCCCAGATTTTCCTTAGTAACCAAATGCCTCAAAGGAAAACAAAAATGTTTCTCAAAAAGGCGGTGGCATAGAGAGAGTTCAGGAAGTTCATTAAGAGTTACTTCAGTGTTCCTTTATCACTTTGCCTGCTTCAAACCAGAGAGGAGAAGCTCAGGCCTCCTCTGCCTGGGGAAGGAGGCCAGGCAGAGAAAACCTCCCACAGGCATTAAACTCACCCCACAACCATATGGGATCCCTGACTTTCTAGGACACCACGTCTCAAAGGTTTGGACCAGAAAATTGGCACAGGATGACATCCAGACTTTATTAAACCATAGGGACAAAGACAAGTTTCAGCAGAAGATGTAAAAATCTTAAAGAAAATGATAATGCAGACACGCACCCCTGAGAATCTTACCCCATCTGCTACTGTCTTCTAATCAGCCTTTCAGGTGGTTTAATTCCTCACTGATTACACCTGGAGAGGGAGCAGGTTTGTTAAATCAGCCCACCTGGGAGAAAGCTTGTCCTGCTAGCAAGCACAGAGCTCAAGGCAGTCACCAGACCCTTCACTCTACAAGTGAGCCAGTTGTACAAAGATTTTCCTTTAGACTCAGGATTGTTGGCAAGCAGTACAGAGATGGATATTTAGTGACTTATATTGGATTATGGACAGGTTCCAGAGAGAAGGAAAAGGACATCATCCAATGACAGAAAGGAAGAAAAAAACCCCCAAAAACCAACCAGGATTCATCTCATGCTTACCAGCAAATCCCCATGTCTCAAGCAGAGGAATTTCAGGTAATTAATTAAAATCTTGGTTTGTTGCTGGATGGTGCTTGGGAAAGGCAAGTTTGTGCTCAGTTTTCCTTAAGGCTAAATTTGTTTGGAAGCTCATTTATACCTGTCTTCAGGCTCTTTTTAGGGAAGTCTTTCAAAATGTTGATAATACAAGTATAACAGTCATCACCTACAGCAGTGTCTCTTCTATTTTAAGAGCTTTGTCTAAGTATGGGTTGCTGGATTTGACTCATAGGTTAGAGTACATCTGCACTAGTAAGCATAGCCCAGTAAGAATAAATATGTAGGTCATGGTATCTGATGCTGTGGACCTGACGTCCATGTTATATTTCAGGATTTTCTTTGAACCAGTTGTATTCTGGTCACACAGGCTGAGTCCCAGTTAGTGGTTAGGTTTGTTTAATTGTTTGTTTAATTAATACATTTAATTTAATCTGCAAAGTGTCCATTCCTTCATGCAGAGTGCTCTGTGAAGTTAATTGTAGGCAGTGGGAACAGCTGAGTTGCTTCAGAACTGTACTCCTGATCTTAAACAAACTTTGGTATTGAAAACATCTTTTGGGCATTGGCATATTCCAGTGTGCTTGTAACAACTCACTGCAAGAAAAGAAAAGTAGGGTATTTTTAGTACCCAGCCCCAAATGACAATTGCTGTGAGACATAAAGGCCTCCCCTGTATTTTCACAAGACTGAGTGTTTTTAATTCTGGCCCTCATCTTCCTCTTTAACCACCACACTGCTACATAGCATCCCCTCAACCCTTTTCTTCACACCTAAAGAAATCACAGTTTAAAAGGCTTGTTTCCTTTGAATAGGTTGAGATAAATGTGGGAGTGTTTTTAGGTGGGCACTGTCTGAGGGAGCCATGTCACCAACACTGAGATCAGCAATTATGCAATTGTGACTTGGAGAAGTATTGTGGAAGCAAACTGGAGCTGCTGGAGTGGCTAAACTGGGAGAAAGGGCTGGGACAGAAATGGA